GGGCGCCACCGAATCCCCACTAGAAAATAAGTTAGAAAATTGTTGCTCCGATCCACCAATAAGCGCCAGCCAAATCAGCGTATTCAACCCTCTCCCAACGAAAAATAGGGTATATATACCCTGATTCCGCGGAGGAACACACACTTAACTTCGCTAGTAAAACCAAAACCGGTGACATAAGTCGTGCGAATCTGTACAACCGTCCTGGGGCCACCATCATAGAGAAGACCAAGTTCTCGTCCATCGCCAACAGCCGAGGCCTCCCACGGGCCTTCTGACGATCAGAGGAAGACGACAACCTCCTCGTCCATCCCGAAGTCTTCCACGAGTGGCCGCCAAGCAGCACTACGACAAACTCCTCGACCAACGTTATCTTCACGAAAGTCCATCAAATTATCAACTACGAGTAAGTCCTCTTTCCTCCACCAACAAACAAATCGAGGCCTAGTACTTAGCTTATAAGAGACCCCTATAAAAGATTTGTAAAATCCGCGATTAACACTTTAAAACTCCACCTTACAGTGGACTTATTCAACCTCCCGGAAGAAGTTGCCATCGACCCCGCGCTATTCGACCAGGATTTTGTCTTAGACTTCCCACTCCCTACACCTTACCACCTTCCCCCCTCTCCCCCTACCACGATCGACTCTCTATCTCCTTCATACTCCCCGGAGCCTTATCCGGCCCCTTTCCCCGCGAACTCTCCCCTTCCATCACCGACGAGCTCCACGTCAAGCGTGGAGTTCTTAGGTGAACTTCCGTCCCTGGAATTCTTAGAAGAATTTGAGTTCCCCGAAGATCTCGTACGTGAGGATTCCACGCCTGACGTGGAATTCCTCCGTCAAGTCTCCCATTCCCCTACTTTCTCCACGTCCAGCGTGGAATTCCTACAAGAAATTCTCCCTTCCAGGCCTCCTAGCGCCTACACCTCTCCTGTGGAGTTCCTTGGAGAACTCCTACCCCTCTCACCCTTAAACAACGCTCTCCCAGATCTCCCTCCATTGTCACCCACCGCCTCCACGCCCAGCGTGGAAGAACTGATAGACATAGTGGCATTGTAGAGATAAATATATACATATGTACACAATACTAGACTCATTATAACTTTATACATACAAAAATATCCCACGTTTGTATATATAAATAAATTGTAA